TCAACTATCGCAACGCGAAATGGAAAATCGCAACGCGATTTTCAACTATCGCAACGCGAAATGGAAAATCGTAACGCGATTTTCAACTATCGCAACGCGAAATGGAAAATCGCAACGCGATTTTCAACTATCGCAACGCGAAATGCAACGCGAATTTGCGATAGTGGAGATCGCAATGCGAATTTGCAAAATCGCAACGACAACTGTAGACTATCGCAACAACAACTGTAGACTATCGCAACGAATTTGGAAAATCGCAACGACAACTATAGGCTATCGCAACGCGAAATGAAAAATCGCAACGCGATTTTCAACTATCGCAACGCGAAATGCAACGCGAATTTGCGATAGTGGAGATCGCAATACGAATTAGAGATCGCATTGCGATTTTGTTGGTCATTTTCGCAAATCCAAAAAAAGTTGGTCAAAATCGTATATTATCTAGGATTTTTGGTCACTGAGGTTATTTTCTCTATTAAAATATGGTAGAATTCATAAATAGTCATTAAATTTATTAAAATGATTATATTTATCATTGAATTTTTAAAAGTTATAAAATAGACATCAAACTTAAGATTTTAATATAAAATAGGTAGTGACCTTGAAATATTGTTAAGGAGTAACATGACATGCTAAATTAATAGAAAATATCTTATTTGGTCCCTCTATAAATAAAATTTCATTTTGATATTTTTCTTGTTTAATAATTTTAAAAAGAAATTTTAAATTTTTAAAAAAAATATATGAAAAGATTTTATTTTTAAATTAAAAATTGTAATCTTTTTGAAAAAATTTCATTCATCAAATTGTTTTATAACCAATTATTTATTGATCATCATTGTATTTGTAATATTAAAAATTTATAATTTTTGGGATATGAAAAATTAAATTGTCAAACAATATAATTATTTTTTATTAAACGGTGTGATTCAAGCATTTGATTTTTGTTTAAGATTTTAAAAATATATGCAGAAAATTGTAATATCAAATTATTAAGAAAGATATATCCAAACTTAAATAAAAAAATAATAGTAAGAAAGATATATCCAAACTTAAATAAAAAAATAATAGAAACAATCTTTAACTTTTAATAATGCATAAGTAATTTATATGGTATAAGTTCAAAATTTATAATATGACACAAAAAGTAGTATTTAATTAATTTATATCTATTTTGTTTTCAATTCAATGAACATAATAAAAAATATTTTAATTAAATTTGAAAATAAAATGAAATTTTAGTTACAATTAAAGGGTTATCCTCATTTTCTATGAATTTAACATGTCACATCACCTCTTTAATGATAGATAAAATGGTGTTGCCCTCATTTTGTAACAAAATATAAAGTTTAATGTCCATTATATAACTTTTGAAAGTTTAGTGTCTAAAAAGATCATTTTTGATATAATTTAATATCCATCCATTTATGAATTTGCCTTATAAAACTAGTGTTGAATATCAATGTTTCCTATACATCAAAGGCCTCATTTGGTGTGGCTTCTTAAATGCACTTTTAGCTAAAAATTCCGTTTGATTGCAAATCAACGTCAAACAGGTAAAAAAATAAAAATATATTATGATGGAAATGGTGGTTTCAACCCAACCGTAAAAGCTAAGATTTATAGTTTTTTTCATTTTTAATTTTGACCCTTACCAATGCACGAGTTCCACTTAATTATACATTTACATTTTATTTTAATAATTTAATATTAACATCCTTAAAAACTAATTTATTACCAAATAATTTATTTTAATGACTTAAAAATAAATAAAATTCATGATTTATATATTAAAATTCACTATGTATTTATTTGTAATGTTCTTTTTGTCAAAAAAAAGAATTTAAAATATTATTTCTCAAATAATTTTATATTCACATGTTAAAAAGTATTGATAATATATTTTTTATTAATAAAATATTTCATTTATAAAAATATTATTAATGAGTTATCTTAAAATATTTTTATATTTTTATTATAATTTAAGTTGATATGTTTTATAAATCATAGTAGTAATAAGTGAAAATATAATTTAAATTCTATATTTTTAGTTTACAACATAACATATAAACATTTTATCTTTTCAAACTCATTTTGTAATAACAATCCCAAACAATTAATTTTTAAAATGTACTTTAAACGTTCTTTTATACCGCACTTTTAAAAGTTACTTTTTACAAGCCTTGTCAAACTATAATAAAAGTGAGTCTAAAAAGATAAAATGCACATTATAAATATTATGTTGTAAAATAAAAATATATAATTTAAATTATATTTACAGTTATTAATACTATGATACATAACCTTGAAATATAACAAAAATATAAAAAATTATTAAGTAATAAATTATTTTTTAAGGATGTTAATATTAAATTATTAAAATAAAATATAAATACATAATTGAGTGGAGCTCATACATTAGTAAGGGTAAAATTATAATTTGTTTCCTAATACAAAGTTAAAAATAAAAACACTACAAATAATAATTTTCAAGATTAGTTTGAAATAATTGTTTCCAACGTATTTTTTTACACGTTTAACATTAATTTTACAGTCAAGATTGTTGACGAAAACGGGTAAAGAAAACAAAAGAACACGAGAATTTTACAAGGTTGAGCAATGTGCTTACGTCCTCGGTGCCTAGGCGGCGCTAGAAGTTTTTTTATTCAATGATATTTTAGGTCTAGGTTACATCTCTATTTATAATAGAAAACCCTGGTACATAATCTCCTGTCCTCTTTACTGGTATATTTATGAGCCATACCTAACAAAGATAAATATTTAACTAAAAACTTTTAAAACCACATCAAACGAGACCAAAATCAATTTAGATATACTCACGTCTCCCTCCATTCTATTATAATTTTAATCAATTCAGTCCCATAATCATTTCATATATCTTATTGTTGAGAGGTAAGTTGAAGCATGAGAGTTAAAAGTCAAATAGTTAAGAGTTTTTGAATAATATATTATTTTTATTTGCTTATACTAATGAAAAATACTATTGTTTAATTTGTATCTGTCAAAATTAATTGACAGTTGATCATATTTATTAGGTCTACTAACTTAAAAATAATCATAATGATTTTACGGCTAACACCAGCATGAAAGTTCAATATAAAACTTTTTCAATCAAAACTAGGAATAGTAATGGGTCGGTTTAAGGTTGAGTTTTTAGTCAACCCGACCTCACCCGAAAATTATATATCCTTCATCCGATCTGACCTAACCCGAAAATATATTTCTTTCACTTGACTTCGATTCGATCCAGATTTTTAGAATACAAATTTAACCCCACCTGATATAAAATAATGACTTAATTAAAAATAATATTTTTTTAAAGAAATACATTATTATCCATTGGTTGGGTCGAATCACAGTTTTTTCATTCTCCATCTGAATCCGACCCGAAACCTTTTTTTAAATCCCAACCTTATCAAATCGGATTGAGTCGGAACCATTTAACCATCGGTTACGAATTTTAGTTCAACCGATGGAAAAGAAAGGAAAACATCATTTCTAATACATACATGCGGAATTTGTGTTGAATTGATAGGGACATTGTAAGTAATTACTGTGTACAAGTTCGAGAGCTTGGGTTTAAATTACAAGAGCTTAGGCCTGGAAAAAGATTACATAAACAACGTTCTAGGGGATCAAGGGCAGCATATGATAGGGAACTATTATCCAACATGTCCGGAACCGGAGCTGACCAATGGATTGCCTGGACATACTGACCAATGCTCTTACAATTTTACTCCATGAAGGACGAGTCGCGGGTCTTCAAGTGCTCAAAGATGGCAAATGGCTCTCTGTTAATCCCCACCCGACGCTTTTTGTCGTTAACATCGGTGATCAATTACAGGTATGCAGTTAAAAGCACTACTGCCTTTTTTTTTTCCTAGTCTATGATGTGAAGTTATTGATGATGAAAATCCTAAATATTGCAGGCATTGAGTAATGGGATGCACAAGAGTGTGTGGCATTGTGCGACTGTAAATGCCGATAAGGCAAGGATGTCGGTCGCCTCTTTTCTCTGCCCTTGCGACCATGCCTTGATCAGCCCTGCAAAAACTCACTGAAGATGGATGTGGAGGTGGAGCCGTACACAGTGATTTTACTTATGCTGAGTATTACAGTGAGTTCTGGAGCATGGACCTGGACAAAGAACATTATTTGGAACTTTTCAAGAACTAATTGCTCGACGCTCGGTCCTCCGGTACTAAACAATAAGGCAATGCGCCAGTTTCCAATTCTGTAACTTTTCCATTTGTAAAACATCCATGAATCCAGAAATTTATAATTGGGGTCCAAAATTTTAATTTTCTTTTCTTAAAAATAATGGGATGTAAAAAATTTTATTTTTTCCATTTTTCTTTGATATATTATACTAAATTTCACTTTTTTTCCTAAATAATGGGAATACACTTGACCCCTAGGGGGCTTAGTGCATCCGCCCCTGCCAACTGCTGGTGCTTTCTGATTTGATTCTTGGTCCTTAAAGGGATTATTTTGAACTGATAATGTTGCAGTTCCCTTTTTAATTGCATTCTAGCATGACAACACCAATTTTTACGGCGACATTTTAGGCTGTATTTCGCAATGCTTTTGCAACCTTAAAAAGTGTTTGTTGACAGCAGAAGCAATGACAGCATAGGAAGTGTTAAAGACTTGAATCACATCTGTGATTTAAAAGTGCATTAGCAGCTTTTAAGAGTTTAAGGGTGAAGATCAACCAGAGAGGTGCATCGATGCTTCGTAAATCCAGTTTACGATCATCGGCTGACCGCATTTTATTCAACTACTAATATAATTTGACAGCCATTTCCCAAGTTCTGCTACAAGAAAATGCCAGCAAACAAGAATTCTACTCAAAGTTGAGGTTTTATGCCATTTAAAAGACATTACTCCACAATTTCATACTGGTACACTAGTAATTATTCTTCACATGCAGCAGAACATATCTTTCTTATTTGTGCCGAGCATATAACATGGATAGATTCAAATCCTTTTGAGGAACTCCATGATGTATGTGCCGAAAGCGCAGCGTTTGACTCGGAAACCCTGAAACCCTACACCCTTGGTCAAGGCCTCAAATTCTTTCTTGGTCCTCTCTTTTCCATCATGATTGTGAGCCAACATATGCAATCGATATGGAGAACTAACTTCTTAGGGAGGCTAGGATCGGGGTAATGTGGAAGAATGGATTCTGCAACAATTACTTTTCCCTTGTCTGGCAAAGCTTTGTAGCACTTGTTCAAAAATTTCGAACTGCGCTCATCACTCCGTTCGTGGCATATCCACTGCATCAGTAAAAAACATGGTCGATGAGGCAAGTAAAAATCATGAAGTAGGGAAAAAGAGAGTTGAGTTTTCAGTCGAGTCGAACTCACCTTCATGAAAATATCAAAATAACATCTCCTATAGGAACCTTTCAACATGTCTCCACCAACAGGCTACACACCTACAGTGAAAAAACACAGACCATTTTCTCATTATTGATAACGTTCATTTACCAATTTGAAGTTCAAAGTGAGTCCAGGAATTGTCATACTAGGATAAGGTGGAGCATCCTCAATGACATGAGGCAAATCAAAGTTAATGCCCTTAATGGAAGGGTGCTTGGTGATGATCATATTAAGCGAGGCTCGGGTTCCACCATCGAAATCAATCAATGTTTTGAGCCCATCAAAGAAATCATATATCTCAAGAATCTTCTTCATGGTAGTGGTGGAGTGATCAGACATTCCCCAGTTGAAGGCTTTCTTTGAATCTAGGATCCGTACCATGGTACTCAAATGCGGTCATACCATAGGCCTTATTGAATGAAATTCCACCTTCCCGCACTGCATCTTTCAAGTAGTACCTACAAATGGTCCAACATTAGAACCTTGTTCATCAAGTTTTTGGAGCTACTTATCAGCTTTCCGTGAGAACCTTGTCTTTGTTCATGAGACTGAGAGCATAAAGAGTGATGCCATCTTGATTCATGGTTAAGAATTTGCAGGCGTATTCTTCTGGGTGCTTAACCCTGCATCACAGATTTCTCAATGCTTGGCCGACTTCGAGCGCAACCAGATCTTATCTTTTAATCTCTGAATAGAAATGGTTATCGGAATGAAAATTGCACTGAAGATGCAAATGTTGAATTATGCATATGATACATGTCATCATAATTCATACACCATTTATATCTTTAGATATATGCTTACGCAAGCAATGACGCCACGACAATTTCGAGCTTTCGAAGGAAATTTTACGTAAATCAAATTTTTTGGAGTTCTATATCCTTTGATCAGTTGTAACCCTTCGACAAAATAATTAATAAACTCAAAACATCTGTCATATCAAAATTTAATGTCTAATTAATACACTGATAAAATAACTAATTTATTTATATCTATTTTGTAGAGATTAAAACAAGAAAGATAGAATAATAATATAAACGTACAACTTGCCTATCTTTTAAACACTACATATATATTCATTTTAATTGCGATTTGTATAGTTTTATTTTATCATAATAATTTATATATTTTAATTATTTTCATGATACTTTTCATTTAATTACATAAAATATTTTATTTTATAATAAGAAATTGCTAGAAGAATGAATTTTTATTGCAAAAAAAAAAACGTTTGGATGTCTAATTAGTGAACATGGATTTTTATAGCAATAAATTGAGGTGTAAATTACATTAAAAAAACAACAGAAAATTAATTATTCTTATCCAATAATTAAACCAACAAAAATAATATTTTATAAGAATTTAATAATTCTTTTAACTTTTTTAAAATGTATGATCCAAAAAAATTATTCGAATATAGTTAAGGGATGTCTAATGTATTTTACCGATATATTGATTCACCATTTCAAAGGTTTTCCTAGGGTTTTACCCCTCACTGGCTTGAATTGGGGAAAGAAAAGAGAAAGAAAAAAATCAGTCAAATTCTTGAGAAATCGAAATGGCTAAGATGTGGAGAGTGGGTTCCCTGAACAACGCTGTTAGAACTATTCGATATCTCCAGGATTCCTCCTTCTCAACTGCCGTTATCCGCCAGCATTCTTCTCCAGCTCTTCCTTTCGCCACCACCGTCCGCCATCTTCGTACCGGCCGCGATCCTAGCTTCAGGTAGTTTACTATTTTTATATTTATAGTATTGGTTTCACATCTCATTTCTAGCTTTCTTATTGGGTTAAATTTCAAGGTACGAGGCTTCACCTCCAGTCAATTGGGGCATTCGCATCGTACCGGAGAAGAAAGCCTACGTGATAGAAAGATTCGGGAAATACTTGAAAACGCTGCCGTCTGGAATACATTTCCTTATCCCATTGGTAGATCGAATTGCTTACGTTCATTCCCTCAAGGAAGAAGCCATTCCTATTCCGGACCAATCCGCTATTACCAAGGACAATGTCAGCATTCTCATCGACGGTGTTCTTTATGTCAAGGTCTTTCATTTTCACCCGCCTCTCTGCTCAACTTGAAAAATCTCTGCTCTAAAATTAGCTTTGGAACCTTACAGATTGTGGACCCACAACTTGCCTCTTATGGCGTTGAGAACCCAATCTATGCCGTCATTCAGCTTGCTCAAACTACCATGCGTAGCGAGCTTGGCAAAATTACCCTCGACAAGACCTTCGAAGAGAGGGATACTCTCAACGAGAAGATTGTGGTTCGTTTTTTTCCTTTGATTCACCCATAAAATTGTGTTATTACATGGATGAACCTGCTGACATTCAATAATTCGAGTTTATGGTAAAATTCTGGTTCAGATCAATAAAAGGTTCAATCGAAATAGGTTGAGGCTCTAACGAATCATTAGTCTATTTAGTCTTGCTATAAATATGATTCTGACTTTTTACCAACGGTTTGGGAGGAGGCATTGTCAATAACTACTCTATTTTCGATTTGTTTACTTTCACTTGGAAAAAAGAATGTTGGTTACATAGCTTAATATGACATTTTATTCTTCTTATGGCAACTACCAATGTTATCAAGTGAATCAGGTGGTGCCAATAACTATATTTTCAACTCACAAGTGAATCTGGTAGTGCCAAGAAAGTTAGAATTAGACAATATTATTCTCGTACTCATATTGCGCTATAAAAGTCTTAAATGTACCCCGCACCTTGTTTACGCTCTGGGAAAAAGATGATGATTCTTTTGAAATTATGTAAGCATTACAGGAGGCCATCAATGTGGCTGCAAAAGACTGGGGCCTGCAATGTCTTCGTTATGAGATAAGTGAGTATGGTTCAGCAATACTTGGATTTTGGCACTCTTTATTTTACCAATACTTCCTTTGTATATATTTCACTTCTCTGTTATCCCAGGGGATATATCTCCTCCTCGTGGTGTGAGGGCAGCTATGGAGATGCAAGCAGAAGCAGAGCGTAAAAAGAGAGCACAAATTCTTGAATCTGAAGGTAATGAATTAAGTTTAAAATATTTCTTATCCCATTTAGTTTAACCTAGAGTGTCTACTGCCTTCTGGCACAATACCATCTTATTTTAATAGTTGATTTTAGATGGTATGATTTATTCATAAAAGTTAATTCTAATAGGAGAGCGGCAGTCCAATATAAATATTGCTGATGGTAGGAAAAGTGCTGTGATTTTAGCATCTGAAGCTGCAAGAATGGATCAAGTTAACCGAGCACAAGGTTAGTGATCATCAACCTGCAAACAGTATTTATGTTAAAAGATGATAGGGCTTTGTATGAATTGTACAAGTTGATGCAGGTTATTAATTTTGATTATTCATTTATGTATATCATTATGAACTTTCCTTGTATGGACAACACAAACTAATTGTGATACCATCTGATTTTGTTTTTGTTCTTATCCCTTTTACTTACTTTGTTGCATGATTGCATCTTCCTTTGATGTCTTCAAGTTTTCCTTCTTAACAAACTCATTAATCAGGTGAAGCGGAAGCCATCCTTGCTAGAGCACAAGCTACAGCTAAAGGAATTGCCTTGGTGTCTCAGTCACTGAAGGAAAATGGGGGAGTGGAGGTGAGCTTATTCCATCTTTCTCATTTCATGTGTACATAATAAGTGCCAACGTTTATGCAGTCCAACCTGAAGCTATTAGAGGAAGATTTAAACAATATTTCCCAGACTACTTTCTAGCATCATGAATTTCCACATCTTAGAATTTCGTAAATGCGTTGACTTGTGGTAGTACCTATAAATGTCAAATAGTCCATGCCTAAGATATCCAATTAGTGATGTTCTTGTAGAATGATTCAATACTCATTAGTTGTCTGGATTTTGCAGATATAGAGAATATGTTGAATGCATGATATTTTTTTTAAATAATCTTGACCCCTTCTTACTTTGTCTTTTCCAATCCTTTAAATAGCATTTCTAATTTGTTAGTGCTATATGAATCATAATTTGCCATTCTGAAGTCATTTATAGATGAGGTGCTGATATCATGCTCATTCCTAAGTAAACATGGGGCTCAACATTATGGTCTCTTTTGCAGGCAGCAAGTTTAAGGATTGCGGAGCAGTACATTCAAGCCTTCAGTAATATTGCAAAGGAGGTAAAGGGGAGATCTCAGACTTGTGCTGCTAAGTATTAATGTTGTCAATGATTATTCACTCTATCTCTGTCATCCTGCTTTAATTTGCCCTTTCTGCTCATATGTTAGGGTACAACAATGTTACTTCCTAGTTCTGCTGCAAACCCTGCCAACATGATCGCCCAAACTCTCACCATGTACAAAAGCCTGGTCCGTGATGTTCCTACTGGTGGTTCTCATGTAAACAGTTCCCCTGAGCTATCCGAAAACAAAAAACATGCTCCTTCTGGAGACACTGAAGGCGAAATCCTGAACCCCAGAGCTGTAGAAGCAAGGGACTCGAGTCAACCGGGCTTTTCACTTCAGAGCTCCAAGAAGGAATAGAAATGGTACTACTCCCTTTGCCTGAAAACCAGACTCCTTTGGTGATTATTAAAATGTTGTGAAAATTCCCAAAAAGAAAGGCAAGGGTTTAGGGGATATTTAGAGTTTGATTAAAAGGATGTTGATTCATTTGGTAAGAGAGTAGAACTGCCATGTAGTACTGGCCGGATGTCTTTTACAGCCTCGAGAATCCAACAAATTTTCAGGAAAGAAACACCTTTGTTGCCGCTGAAAAACACTTGATCTGTAAGTCTAAATTAAACAGAACATCACTCTATTTCTTGTAACTTTCCTTCAAATACTATAATAATGCCCAAGGTCAAAGCGCACTTTACAAGTCTGAGATCTCCCCTTTACCTCCTTTGCTATAAACCCATTCAATAATTTGCTGTCTTATAGTTTCCGTACAAGGTGATAACTTGTATCATCATTTAATTGATCAATAAATAATAATTTATCATGTTGTCACCGGGGGCAGATGCACACGACTCACAAGGTCAAATGCATACCCATTATTTTAGATAAATTATTAAATATAGTTCAATATATTAAAGGAATGTTTGAAAAAAATTACATACTCATTTGGTTAAAGAAAAAGAGAATTAAAATTTTTGAACTTTTATTTTTTTAAATTTCTAGATCCATTACTGGTTGTCATCAGATGACTAATTTATTAAATCAATAACTAACATTACATCATAATATTTTGTTTAATGTGATATTATATTACTACAATGACAAGTGTGGATCGTCAATAAATCAATGTGTACTGTTAATAAATCAATGAATTTTAATAAAACAATAATACTTTTTTTATCAAAATTTAAAATTAAGGAGATCAAAATAACTATTTAATCCTATCTTAACAAATATTTTTAATATTATATATTGATAGATGCTTTATTTAGTTATTATTTTATCTTTAAATTGCTTCTTAGTTGTTAGTTTTTGTGGCTGAATTGTTCGTTTTGATTCAATTTCTGTGCAGGACACTAGGTTCTGGAAATTACACCAAAATGACATAATTTTGCAGTGTTTTTATTTTTAGAATCAATGATAGATTAGTGGACATGACTCTAAGCATGACTCATTTGACGAGGGTCCAATCAGTGCTTCTAGAAGGACGAATGAATTAGTCGCATGTTTCTGAAAGTCGAATTCAAATTAAACTCATGTTTTTAGGATTTTAGTTTAAATATTTTTAAGAATTATCTTTAGGAATTATTTCTTATTTTTAGTAATTATATTTTCTATGTTTTTAGGATTTTTGAAGGCTATAAATACCCTCTCAGGGTAAGCCTAAAATCACATTTAGAATTCATTCTTCTTATTCTTTCCTCTGGTTTTATAAAAGTTTTTTTTTCTTTTTATTTTTCTTTTTATTTTTAAGATGTTAAATTATGATTATCATACTTAGCTAATTTCTCCACAGCCAAAGGCTGAAGCGATGACTCAATCCTTATTGTGAGGATTGAAAAACACATTTTAAAATCAACCTATCTTTTTAAAATCAAAACACTTTTTAATCAAAAAGTCGAAGTTGCTTCGAAAGTTGTTCTGATTAATAAGTTGGAGGAAGAATCAACTGGTAGCAAGTTCGACTTCCTGTGAACATACTTAGTGGCGGTTCGCTAAGGGAAATTGAGATCGGGCTCGATTCTCATTGAGGCAACATAGTTCGAGTTAGGTTTTTCCAGATCTATAAAACAGGTTGGTGCTGACGAAGATAGTCGTAGTTAGTCTCCATAAAGGATTGATATCCAAAAATAGATTTTGGGTTATCAGTTCACAAGAGAGAAAAACAAGTTACAGGGGTTGGGCCCTGTAGACTGTACCCGACAAATAACCGAAGCAAAAATTTATTCCAATGATCAATTGGAATTGAGGCAAAAGCTGAAGCCTGAGGCTAATTTTACTATAAGTTTCTCTTCATCTCAATCACTTTAAATTTATTTATTTAATTATTTTCTTTTATTTAATTATTATATTTTAAAAAAACAATTTTTAAACCCCCTATTTTATTTCATCCAAAACTCTACCTTATCTCATCCTTATCTAAATCAGAAAGTTTACTTCATCAGAAACACCAGAGTCCTTGTAGACTGATCCTGCTTCTCTATTCTACTCTCACTTTTTATTTATTTATTGTTAAGAAGCTGAAATTATTTTGACAGTAAAACGACACCTGTCAAAATTGGCGCTGTTGCTGGAGACTTCGACTAAAGTAATTGATAAAGTTATTTTTTATTTATGGCCAGAAGTAATCCAGGTGATTTGGTAGAATTTGATCCAGAAATTGAAGCTCGAGCAAAGATGAATTCACGCAAAAACGCTTTGAGAAAAAAGAAGGAAATGACAATAGGGACAACTGGAGCAATCAGATCCAGAATTAAATTTGGAAGGATCATATTCATGTAATACAAACAAAGAACCGATAACCGAAGAAACACTTGGCACAAAGAACACGCCAGAACCAATGGCAGATCAGACGATTCGACAGTTAGCTGCAGTACCTTTAATACAACAACCTCTTTGCATCATTTTTCCTCAAGGCGCAACTTCGTTTACTCTGAAAACGAAACTTATTCATCTTCTTCCTACATTCCATGGGCTTCCTAGTAAAAGCCCACATAAACATCTCACAGAGTTTCATATGGACTGTTCAAGCATGAAACCTCAGGGAGTATTTGAAAACCAAATAAAACTATGGGCTTTCCTTTTTTTTCTTTATCTAATTTAGCTAAAGAGTGACTATTTTATTTACCTCCCAATTTTATAAATACTTGGGCTGATTTAACTCGGATTTTTATAAGTTTTTCCCAGTAGAAAAAGCAAGTGAATTAAGGAGAAACATTATGGGAATAAGAAAAAAAGATGATGAATCGCTTTACGATTACTGAAAGCGATTTAAGAAACTTTGTGCAAGCTGTCCACAACACAGATTATTCGAGCAAACACTCATCCAGTATTTCTATAAAGGGTTACTTTCAATGGAGATGAAAAACTATAGATTCTGCTAGTGGAGGATCTCTTGTGAACAAAACACCAGATGCATAAAGGAAATTAATTTTGACAATGGCTCCCAACTCTCAGCATTTTGGCACCTCAAGTGAACCCAACCGACGGGTTCACGAGATAAGTACTATTTCCTTAGAAAACAAAATTGATAAAGTAACTGATGTAGTTAATTCTTTGGTTGCAGGGAAAATTGGATCAGCAAGAGTATGTGGAATATGCACAATGTCAGATCATCCAACAGAATGTTGTCCAATGCTTCAAGATATAGTTGGCGCAAAAGAAAATGTTGTAGAGAACCTTCCAGGACCTCCTAAGAGACCCTATAACCCATACTCTAATACTTTTAATCCGGGATGGAGAGACCATCCAAATCTGAGCTATTGAAAAAACTCAAGGCAAAATCAAGCCTATCAACAAAGGCCCCTACAAACGTTTCAACCACAAAAATTCCTCTCTAAAATCCATTGTTAAACGTTTGGCCTTGTCGGGAAAAATTCCAAAATCAGACCGAGGCCCATCAACAAAAATTGGATAAACAAATGAGTCAACTGGCTCAAATCGTTGGAAGATTAGAATCACAAGAGAAGTTACCTTCTTCACTTTTTAAAGTGGTATAATTATCGAACAACCAATCCCAGAGGATGTTGGATCAAATCCCCAAAAGAATGGAGAAGAACCAAAATCCCAAATAGAAGAAGAAGCAGTTGGCGCAGATCCCCCTAAGGAAAAAGAGATTGACGCAAATCCCCAGAAAAAGAAGAAAAATGTTTCAAATCCTGATCTGACACCATCTCCCTATGAAACTCCACCATTTTTCCTTCCAGGTTAGTAAAAAGAGATAATCAAGCTGAAGAGAAGGAAATTTTGGAAGTATTTTGAAATGTTGAAATCAACATACATTTCCTTGACGTAATTCGAAAATAACAAGGTATACTAGTTTTCTTAAAGACCTTTGTACCAGAAAATGAAAGCTTAACAGAAAAGAAAATGTGAATTTGGGAGAGCATGTTTCAGCTGTATTCCAACGAAACTTCCACAAAAGTTAAAAGCTCAAGGTATGTTTTCTATACCTTGCAAAATTGGTAAAGTTAAAATTAAAATGCAATTTGCGATTTAGATGCTTCTATTAGTATTACGCCTTTAACTATATACAACTTACTTTCTAATGAGCCTTTGAAGAATATAAGAGTAACAATACAACTGGCTGATCGATTAATAATATATCTCGAAGGAACCTTGGAAGATGTCTTAGTTAAGGTAAATGAGCTTATATTTCAGACAGATTTCTATGTTATTGACATGTAAAATGACCGAACGAATACTTGTTCAGAAATATTTTTGGGTTGTCCCTTCCTTAGCACAACAAATACGAAAATCAATGTAAGAAGTGGCATTCTTACAATGGAGTTTGACAGTAGATCATAAAATTTGATGTATACAAAACAATGCGTTATCCTGATAATACTGTTAGTATAAACTTTGTAGATATCATTGAGCCCAGCCGTTGAAAAATTTAGAAAAGATAAATTTGTTGATAATCTGTGTAGGGAATTGGAAGAACTTGACTATGAAACCAGGGAGTTTAAAGAAATCTTTTCGGTTAAATTATGATTCATGTTTTATTCCTTCAAATCCTAAGTTGTTTCTTTTTGTTATACAGACACCTCAAGTCGATTTGAAAAAATTACCGGAGCACTTGAATTATGCATTTTTAGGCGAAAACAAAACTTTTTCAGTTATTTTCTCAAGTAAGTTATTGAAAAAAAAGAAGAGGATGACTTGGTAACAGTGTTAAGAGCGCATTAAATAAAAATTGGCTAGACTATTATCGATATCAATGGACTTATCCCCCTCAACTTGCATGCAAAAATAAAGATTGAAGAAGGACCAAATCCCTCAAGGGAAGAACAACGCCGATTAAATCCACCTATGATGGAAGTGGTGAAAAAGGAAATCCTGAAACTTCTTGAAGAATATGTAATTTACCCAATCTCAGACAATAATTGGGTAAGTCTAATCCTTGTGGTTTTGAAGAAAACCAGAGTCAGGGTAATTGAGAATTCATAAGGTAAGTTAGTCCCAACAAGAGTTCAGAATGGATGGAGAGTCTGCATCGATTACAGGAAGTTGAACTCATTAACTAGAAAAGACCACTTTCCTCTTCCATTTATAGAACAAATGATAGAAAGATTAGATGGTAAGTCTCATTATTGTTGTCTTGACGGCTTTTTCAGGATT